GACCCCCCACCGCGCCCCCACCGCGTCTGACATTCCCAGCCCTCCTGAGGCCTCTGGGCATAGGTTTCTAGGAGCCACCCACCCTGCAAAATCCTCGCCGCGTCTGACATTTCCAGCCCCCCTGCAGCCTCCGGGCATAAGTTTCTAAGAACCACCCACCCTGCAAAATCCTCGCCGGGACCCCCCACCGCGCCCTCACCGCGTCTGACATTCCCAGTTACCCTGAGGCCTCTGGGCATAGGTTTTTAGGAGCCACCCACCCTGCAAAATCCCGGCTGGGACCCCCCACCGCGCTTCCACCGCGTCTAACATTCCCAGCTCCCTGAGGCCTCTGGGCATAGGTTTCTAGGAGCCACCTACCCTGCAAAATCCTCGCCGGGACCCCCCACCGCGCCCCCACCGCGTCTGGCATTCCCAGCCCCTCTGAAGCCTCTGGGCATAGGTTTCTAGGAGCCACCCACCCTGCAAAATCCTCGCCGGGACCTTCCACCGCGCTCTCACCGCGACTGACATTCCCAGCCCCCCTGAAGTCTCTGGGCATAGGTTTCAGGAGCCACCCAACCTGCAAAATCCTCGTCGGTACCCGCAACCGCGCCCCCACAGCGTCTGACATTCCCAGCCCCCCTGAAGCCTCTGGGCATAGGTTTCTAGGATCCACCCACCCTGCAAAATCCTCGCCGGGACCTCCCACCGCGCCCCCACCGCGTCTGACATGCCCAGCCCCCCTGAGGCCTCTGGGCATGAGTTTCACCCACACTGCAAAATCCTCGCCGGAACTCCCTACCGCGCCCCCACCGCGTCTGACATTCCAAGCGCCCCTGAGACCTCTGGGCATAGGTTTCTAGGAGCCACCCTCCCTGCAAAATCCTCGCAAGCACCCCCCAACGCGCCCCCGCCGCGTCTGACATTCCCAGCCTCTCTGCAGCCTCTGGGCATAGGTTTTAGGAGCCACCCACCCTGCAAAATCCTCGCCGGGACCCCCCACCGCGCCCCCACCGCGTCTGACATTCCCAGCCACCCTGAAGCCTCTGGGCATAGCTTTCTAGGATCCTCCCACCCTGCAAAATCCTCGCCGGGACACTGCGTCTGACATTCCCAGCCCCCCTGAGGCCTCTGGGCATACGTTTCTAGGAGCCACCCACCCTGCAAAATCCTCGCCGGGACCCCCCACCGCGCCCCCACCGCGTCGACATTTCACAGCCCCCCTGATGGTGAAGCCTCTGGGCATAGGGTTTCGGAGCCCCCCACCCTGCAAAATCCTCGCCGGCCCTCCACCGCGCCCCCACCGCGTCTTCTTGGACATTCCCAGCTCCCTGAAGCCTCTGAGCATAGATTTCTAGGAGCCACCCACCCTGCAAAATCCTCGCCGGGACCCCCCACCGCGCCCCCACCGCGTCTGACATTCCCAGCCCCCTTGAAGCCTCTCGGCATAGGTTTCTCCCATCCTGCGAAATCCTCGCCGGGCTCCACCGCGCCCCCGCCGCGTCTGACATTCCCAGCCCCCCTGACGTCTCTGGCCATAGGGAAGCCCCCCTGTGGCCTCGGGCATAGCTTTCACCCCCCTCACTGCGCCCCCACCGCGTCTGATACTCCCAGCCCCCCTGAGGCCTCTGGGCATAGCTTTCACCCACCCTGCAAAATCCTCGCCGGAACTCTCTACCGCGCCCCCACCGCGTCTGACATTCCCAGCCCCCCTGAGGCCTCTGGGCATACGTTTCTAGGAGCCACCCACCCTGCAAAATCCTCGCCGGGACCCCCCACCGCGCCCCCACCGCGTCTGACATTTCCAGCCCTCCTGAAGCTTCTAGGCATAGGTTTCTAGGAGCGACCCACCCTGCAAAATCCTCACCGGGACCACCCACCGCGCCCCCACCGCGTCTGACATTCCCAGCCCCCCTGAGGCCTCTGGGTATAGATTTCATTCCACCCTGCAAAATCCTCGCCGGAGCTCCCTACCGCGCCCCCACCGCGTCTGACATTCCCAGCCCCCCTGAGGCCTCTGGGCATACGTTTCTAGAGCCACCCACCCTGCAAAATCCTCGCCGGGACCCCACCGCGCCCCCCCACCGGTCTGACATTCCCAGCCCCCCTGAAGCCTCTGGGCATAGGTTTCTAGGAGCCACTCACCCTGCAAAATCTTCGCCGGGACACCGCGTCTGACATTCCCACCCCCCTGCCCCCCACCGCGCCCCCACCGCGTCTGACATTCCCAGCCCCCCTGAGGCCTCTGGGCGTAGGTTTTTAGGAGCCACCCACCCTGCAAAATCCTCGCCGAGACCCCCCACCGCGCCCCCACCGCGCCTGACATTCCCAGCTCCCTGAGGCCTCTGGGCATAGGTTTCTAGGAGCCACCCACCCTGCAAAATCCTCGCCGGGACCCCCCACCGCGCCCCCACCGCGTCTGACATTCCCAGCCTTCTGACCCTCTGGGCATAGGTTTCTAGGAGCCACCCACCCTGCAAAATACTCGCCGGGACCTCCCACCGCGCCGCCACCGCGACTGACATTCCCAGCCCCCCTGAAGTCCCTGGGCATAGGTTTCAGGAGCCACCCAACCTGCAAAATCCTCGTCGGTACCCCGCACCGCGCCATCACCGCGTCTGACATTCCCAGCCCCCCTGAGGCTTCTGGGCATAGGTTTCTAGGAGCCACCCACCCTGCAAAATCCTCGCCGGGACCCCCCACCGCGCCCCCACCGCGTCTGACATTCCCAGCCCCCCTGAGGCCTCTGGCTATAGGTTTCTAGGAGCCACCTACACTGCAAAATCCTCGCCGGGACCCCCCACCGCGCCCCCACCGCGTCTGACATTCCCAGCCCCCCTGAAGCCTCTGGGCATAGGTTTCTCCCACCATGCAAAATCCTCGCTGGGAGCCCCACCGCGCCCCCACCGCGTCTGACATTCCCAGCCCCCCTGACGTCTCCGGCCATAGGTTCTAGGAGCCACCTACCCTGCAATCCTCGCCGGGACCCCCCGCCGCGCTGCCACCGCGTCTGACACCCCCAGCCCCCCTGAGGCCTCTGGGCATAGGTTTCACCCACCCTGCAAAATCCTCGCCGGAACCCCCTACCGCGCCCCCACCGCGTCTGACATTCCCAGCCCCCCTGAGGCCTCTGGGCATACGTTTCTGGGAGCCACCCACCCTGCAAAATCCTCGCCGGGACCTCTCACCGCGCCCCCACCGCGTCTGACATTCCCAGCCCCCCTGAAGCCTCTGGGCATAGGTTTCTAGGAGCCACCCACCCTGCAACATCCTCGCCGGGACACCGCGTCTGACATTCCCAGCCCCCCTGAGGCCTCTGGGCATAGGTTTCTAGGAGCCACCCACCCTGCAAAATCCTCGCCGGGACCCCCCACCGCGTCTGACATTCCCAGCCCCCCTGAAGTCTCTGGGCATAGGTTTTTAGGAGCCACCCACCCTGCAAAATCCTCGCCGGGACCCCCCACCGCGCCCCCGCCGCGTCTGACATTCTCAGCTCCCTGAGGCCTCTGTCCATAGGTTTCTAGGAGCCACCCACCCTGCAAAATCCTCGCCGGGACCCCCCACCGCGCTCCCACCGCGTCTGACATTCCCAGCCCCTCCGAAGCATCTGGGCATAGGTTTCTAGGAGCCACCCACCCTGCAAATCCTCGCCGGGACCCCCCACCGCGCCCCCGCCGCGTCTGACCCAGCCCCCCTGAGGCATCTGGGCACAGCTATCACCCACCCTGCCAAATCCTCGCCGGGACGCCCCACCGCGCCCCCACCGCGTCTGACATTCCCAGCCCCCCTGAGGCCTCTGGGCATAGGTTTCTAGGAGCCACCCACCCTGCAAAATCCTCGCCGGGACCCCCCACCGCGCCCCCACCGCGTCTGACATTCCCAGCCCCCCTGAGGCTCTGGGCATAGGTTTCTAGGAGCCACCCACCCTGCAAAATCCTCGCCGGGACTCCCCACCGCGCCCCCGCCGCGTCTGACATTCCCAGCCCCCCTGAGGCCTCTGGGCATACGTTTCTAGGAGCCACCTACCCTGCAAATTCCTCGCCGGGACCACCCACCGCGCCCCCGCCGCGTCTGACATGGGGACCCTCACCGCGCCCGCCACCGCGTCTGACATTCCCAGCCTCCTGAAGCCTTTGGGGATCAGTTCCCCATGCCCCCCCCCCCCCTGCCAAATCCTCGCTGGGACCACCCACCGCGCACGCCACCGCGTCTGACATTCCCAGCCTCCTGACGCTCCTGGAGATGAGCGCGCAGCTCTCCTGGACCCACATCCAGACCGGGCGCGCCCCGCGATCCATGCCCGCCGGGCTTTCCGCTTCACGCTGGCTTTTTCGCAGTCGCTACCACGTCATGCGACCGGTCTGCCACGCGCTTCCGACTGCGCTCCTGTTCTGCATCGCATACGTTACACCGCTGTGTTCCGTCCGATCTCTTCGTCGCCCGCCTTGACAACCACGCGCTGAATCCCGCCTTCTCGACGCAATTTTTACACTGCACGCACTTCCAATACCCGCGCGGCGGTCGCGCTCCCTTCACGCACGTTTCGCACTTGCGTTGCTTGTTGGCGACGTCGTTCCACATTCGCCTGGAGAATGCGCCCTCCGGCTGTTCCTCGCCGCACGCCACGCACGACTTCACCTTCGCCTTCTTGACGCACGTTTCACACTTGCGTTGCTTGTCGGCGACGTCGTTCCACATCCGCCTGGAGAATGCGGCCTCCGGTTGTTCCCCGCCGCACGCCACACGCGACTTCACCTTCAATTTCTCGTTCCTTTCGGCGGCAGCCCGCTCGACGCACTCCGTGCATTTTCGCGGCCTGGGCCTCTCTTCCCACATTGAGCCCGAATACATGTCGCGCGGTTTCTCCTCACCACACCGCGAACACTTCTTCCGTTCCTCCTCTCCCCCCCGCCGCTTCCCCTCCTTCCTCTCCTCTCTTTTGCACTTGTCGCACCAGCGCTCCACGTCATCGACGTCGCGCTTCGCGAAATGGGTGGCGATCTTGCTCTCCTTGCAGCGACCACATACGAGGTGCTTCTTCAATTCTTCACACTCTGCGCACATTCCTCCCCTACCTCGGCTGTTCCCCGCCAGTTCCCACTGATGCCGCGCGAACGCCTGTTCGTATTTCCGATGCTCGCACACGCGGCAACTCCGTCTCTCGGGGCAGTCCACGCAGCGCCGCGTGGTCAGCTTCGGCGGGTGGTGCTGTGACGCGTGGAAAGCCTCCTGGCACTTCCATAAACCACAATCCATGCATTGCCACGGCGTGCCCGCCCTCTTCTTATCTTCCAGGCACACGGTGCACACGCGGAGCCCGTCTGCGCGGCTCCACTGCCCAATCGTTGGGTACATATTCTTGTACTTCGTGCACCCGCAGACCGCGCACCTGCCGGACGGCATGAACTCCTTCTCTATCGCCTCCCAGTCCAATTCTTCTCCGCGCAACGTGCGCAGCAACAAGTCCGCGCCCTTCCGCTCGTCCTTCTTCTGATACGGCGCAATGTCGAAAGGGCGAAAGATCAGCATATCCTCGCGGCGCTGCACCCGCGTCAGTGCCACGTAGCTCGACAGAGGTGACGTGCCCCCGCCGATGCTCAGGTCCACAATGACACCCTGCTTGAACGTCTGCCCCTGCGCCGCATGGGCCGTCACTCCGAAGGCTGGCGCTAGTGGGAACTGCCGTCTCTTAACCTTGAGTCGCGGATGCGGACGGCCCTTGTCCACGAACCAATCCTTCTTCTGCGGAACCGCAGGGTGCAAGCCGGGTGTCGTTAATCCCTCGATCGTCCACTGCCGCGGCTTCCTGCCGCCGTTCCCGTCATCGCCTTCGTCGAACATCACGAAAATCACTTTTGGCGTCTTCTTCACAATGGTCTCCCCGCCGCGCGTGACTAGATCATTGACGTCGTCCCCGTCGCACGCCCAGGATTGCACCCAGCCAACGCGACCGCGCAGCAGGTTTTTGTCCTCGCTTCGATCGATATGATCGGTCAGAGCGACGGGCATGCCTTCTGCGATGGGCAAAAAGCCGTACAAGTCCCCGCTCTCCTTGTCGTGTCGTTGCAGCCGTGCCATCTTCTGCTGCGGCAGATCCGGCCGCTCCCGCAGCGCCTCTGGCGTGGGCGTATCTCGCGCAGGGACGTACACCATCGGCTTTCTGTGCTTGCGTGCGTACTGGGACGCACGGAGCTTGTTCGCCTCGTACTTCACGTCGTTGTTTGGGAACACACCCGGCGCCACGAGGAACTTGTCTGACTGCAGACGCGGGTCGTCGGGACCATCCACCACGAGCTTGCGGCGCGCGCGTTCCGCTCTGCACACCTTGCACTCCTGCTCGCGGGTATCTTTCGGCGTCACGGGGCGTTTCCGTCGTTGCCCCGCGCTGGACAACGCTGCGTCCCTTCCGCCACTGCACAATTCCCGACACGCTCTATTCCCGCAGCATACGTCCCCCCCCAACCAGCTCCCAGGAACGGTCGTATGCCGGCCGTGCAAGAATGCGTGCGCATCCGCCGACAGCGACCCTCTTCGGAATTCCTCCTGCACCTCCTTCAACCAGGCGTCGTCGCAAAGCTCGCACTCTTCCAGCTCTGTCACGCCCTGAATCCCACACTCGGCTCCGCCCCAGAGAAGCGATTGCCCGTGCAACACGGGTGGCAGCGAAGTGTACTTGCGCGCAGCCGAAATCCGCTCCGTGGGGACGTCGCCGAGGAAGCCTCCATCAGGGGGGGCCAGCTGCCAGAAGTCACCACTCAGCACGACGTTCAGGCCGCCGAACGGGCGTGGAACGCCATCGTCGCCGAGTTTCGTCGTGCCCACGGCCCGAATGACCCCGCGAAGTTTCGCGTCCACTTCTGCTAGCAGTCTAGCGCTCACCATGCTTATCTCGTCGATAAAAAGCCACCTCCACTGGAGCAATCGCTTCGCAGTCTCGTACTGCAACTTCACGTCCTCTCCACCCTTCTCTTCTCCCCGCTTGATGGCCGGAATGCCACACGCATGGTGGATGGTGTCGCCTCCCAGCAGCTGAGCCATGACGGCCTGCAAGGCGGTTATCTGGAAGTGCACTCCGATAGTCCATTTCATCACCTTCTCAAACAACTCATGACGAATAATGCGAAGCACGTGCGACTTGCCGGTCCCAGGGCCCCCGTGCATGCACCACTGCAGCGGCTCACCCATGCTGCCGTCCTCTCTTCCTTCGCCGTCTATCTCACGCATTACTCGAGACGCCGCCTTCTTGACCATCTCGAACTGCTTCGCGTTCACAACACGCCGCCCCGTGTGCTTGTCCACCCGGAACTCTAGGTCCCTGAGCCACGCGGCAACGTCCTCCGATGTTGCCGCCTGGCCAGCGACGACAACTGCGCCGTCAGCCTCCGCCAGTCGGTCTGCCATGGATTCCTCCTTGTTCCGAGATTTGCGCGCCTCCCTGAGTACCTGCTCAACGTCGCAGGGCTCCTCCGCGGGCCATGCACTCATAATCCCGCTCAACGGCGTTTCGCCATCGCGAAGCCCCCACACCTGTTGCGCGACACTCATGCCTCCTTTCGAATTTTCGTAGTGGGAGACGCTTCCAGCTCCCTGCCCAGGTCTGCGTCGTCCTCGTCGCTGCTGCTGTCTCCGTCGCCGTCCTTGCGCCTCTTCCCGCCCGCGCGGGACTTGAGCGCCTCGTCGAGCTGATCGAAGCCCACGTCCAACTCCTCGTCGCTCACGTCCTCGTCGGTCCCATCCCCCGCTTCGTCCGTGTCTCGTGGCCGCACGCGGTACACACTGAGGAAGTTGCCCACGTACCGCGCGGCCTCCTTCGTCTGCACCCCCCCGTCCAGCCACGCCACCATGGCCGCGTCCCATGTCGTCGCATCCCCGCGCAAGCTCCCTGCGAACACGACGGGCGCGTCAGCCGCGTCGAGCCTCAACGTCCACGGGTGGAAGTACGTCATGACAATGCGCGCAGATCGCTCCGCTTCTCCAGGACGTCCGCGTGGCACGGGCGCTCCGAAAAAGGTTGGTGCCTTGGGTTTTTGTTCCGCTTGAGCAGCCACGTGTGACGAAGGTGGGCGCACCCGTCTGTCTCTGGGTACGGCACCCAATCCACGCCTCCTCCTTCCTTGACCATGTAGTCCTCCCCAGGTTCCAGGTCCTGCTCCAATCTCGGGTTTTTACAATTCTCGCGCACCTTTTCCTTGCCCTTCTCTGTCAAGACGGCGTGATGCCGGGGATGGTCCGCATCCCCGAGTCTTGTCGGGAATGACACCAACACCGGCGTCCAGTACGTCGCGAACTCATACGGGGACAGGTGCCACAGGTCGGGAATGTTCGGTCGAAGCCCATACAACATGGCCACATCTCGAAAGGTCACCTTTCGACGTCTCCTCTGCCGCATGTCCACTTCGGCAAACTGCGCTTTGCGCCCGCCTGTCGCGCGGTCTGCCAGGCGCTCGACCAAATCCACGTACTCTCGCCCATAAAAAGCTGTGGTCTGGCAAGACTTCAGTGATTCCGCTGCAGTGACGTCGTCTTCCCTCGCGAACGCTCTCAGATTCGCACACTCCACTTGCCCCCGCACGATGCCCTTGCCGTGCGCGTCGCTCATGATTCGGTTCGCTACTCGCTTCCCGATCCGATTCAAATTCTCGCCCTGCAGCTGCCTGCCAAATTTCTCTATCCCCTTGCAGCACTCTTTGACTTCGTGAAAAGCCATGGGTTGCCGCTTCGTGCAGTAGTCGCACGCGTACCCTGCCTGTGCATCCTGCGCAATTTGCGCGCCCTTGATGATCGCCGCGTCGTTGAGCTTCTTGTCGCATGCTTTCCCGCACGTACAACAAACCTCCGTGATGGGAAACCGATACGGCAATTGCACGTCCGAATTGAACCGTTGCGCGGACAACATGCAAGGATGCGTGCCGTTCAGACTCTCGTGATTCATCGGCCCGTGCAGGCTTCCCGTCCGATTCCGTCGCCCTGCCTTTGGCATGTCCAACACACCCGCCTGCCCCGGACACACGACGATGGCGCGGTCAATGAGCTGCGACGTCCGCGGGAAGTCCGCCTTACACAACTTCGGGTTGTCCTTTCGGCGGCACGCCGGCAGGGGTACTCGGTCCCCAGTCTCTTCGTTTTTCAAATGCACGTGGTTCTGCTTCCTCTCCTGCAGGTACTGCGCGTCTACGTCTAGGTACGCTTTCTCCCATGTCACAGCGTCGTCTGCTGCCTCCTTCTCCGTTGCTTCCGGATCAAGAGTGCGACACTGAAACGCGGGCCTGCAAATGAGCCCTCCCTCGTTTTTAAATTCCGGCCACGACTTCTCTGCCTCATCCAACCTGCCACTGATTTCCTCCTGTGTCATCTGCTTCGAATACACCTGGCGGCACACGCGACTCTTATACTTCAAATAATCCTCCACGATCTTCTTTCCACGGCCTTCCACCTCGTCGCGGACGATTCCGAATACCTCTTCCAGCGGTGTGTGCTGGTGCAGGCACTGGATGAATACCTGGCAGTGCGCGTGGAGAGACCCCGTGGACTTCTGCGCTTCGATCGACACGTAGTAGGCATCAACGCGCCCGAACGCGCCCCCCCCCCGGGCTGAGCATTACTCCCGAAAAGGTCCTGGCATGGTGCCCCGTTCTCAGCCTCGTTGCACCGCGGGCAGTTCGGACAGGTACGCACGCCGAACAAGTGACGGAGCGTGGCGTCCACCAGGATACGGAAGCCGTCCACGCTGGCCATGGGATCTCTCGCAAGAATGCGTCTGCGCTCGTTCCATGGCGGCACTCCTGCCTCCCCCGTGGCCATCGGCAGGTCCATGCGCAGCCCATCCATGTCGGGGGCTACGCGCGGCCAGCCCCGACCCCCCGCCAGCCGCGAGTGCGCTTCATCATCAGCTGCCTTGTGCACGGGGTCCTGCCGGCGAGCGCGCGAGAGTCTCACCATGAGCAGATTGCGACCTTCGTCGGGCGAGAAGGTAACGAATATGGGGACGCCGTACCGCACTCGCAGCGCGTTCGTCTCAAATCGCATGACTCGACGCGCTTCCTGCGTCCCAGACAGTCGCCGCGACGTGTGCTCTATGTGCGTCAGCAGCTTATGGGCGCCTTTCCCCAGCCCTGGCACGTGCCGCACTTTGGTCATGTCGCCGTTTACTTTCTGTTTCCTATTGTTGATGTCTACGTACTTCCCGTCGAGCGCGCGATAAATCTGCTTCGCTCCTTCCGCAATTTCCGCGGGAGTGAGCTGTTCGACCTCGCCTGATGCGTTCGCTGACACATACGTGAACCACGTCCTGCTCAGGTTCACAGCCGATCGACACACAAGGTTCCACGACACGAATCCGAAGTGCCAGTCGCGGGACATCTGGCTCTCCACGCGACGACTCATTATCCTCACCCACAGCGGCAGCTCCACCCGTGGCGCCCCGTTCCTTCGTCGGTGGCGCGGGCGTTTCATGAACTCTGGGCAGTCAGGCATTCCCGTGCAATACTTAAACAGAAACGCGAACGCGACGCCGAAATACCAGGGCGCGAACTGATCCATCATAACGTTTCCAGTGCGCACGCGGAGACGATCCACGCGCTTCCTGTCGCGCCCGGCCTGAATCAGCATGTCGCGCTCCACTGCTTCTCGCGCCGCCTCATCCGCGCTCGAGGCCGTTCCCTCGCGGACGCGGCTGCGTTTACTTCCCCGTTCTGCCTTCCCGCCGCCTTCTTCGTCTTCGCTGGAGTTCGACGTGTCGTCGGCCCCGCCATGCGCGCACTCCTCATCTAGCCGTTGCACGAAGGTCCGCACGGCCTCAATCCGCTGCGCATTGATGTCTCCCTCGTCGAAACTGCTCTTCTCACACACCACAGCGTTCGCCTTCGTGGTCTCCAAAATTTCTCCCGCCTCACGTAGCCCGTCGGGCCTCGGCACGGGCGTCGCCGCCTTCTGCATTTGGATCTTCTCAAGCGCGTCGTCCAGGGGTACCAGGCGCATGATCTCCGGTGGCACGCCTTCCTCCGGAAGCTCCATGGCTCTTTTCCGGACCTCACCCATGTCCACGTTCCGGTACGCGCGATGCCCGCGAGCCTTCGCCCCCTCGATGAGATCCACGACCACCTTCCTGCGCGCGAGAGCCTGGTGCACGAACGTGGACATGCTTTCAGCAGTATCGTCGTCGCCGCCCGACTTCAAGATCACAGACACGATGCCTGCAAGCTCCGCGCCCGTGCGTGGAAGTGACGGCGCACGCCCGTCCGCGGCAGCCTCTTCAGCAGCAGCCAACTGCGCTAGAACGTCCGTCCACGGCATCGGGAACGACGTCGCGTTTCCGCGCGCCGCCATGCGGACTTCGTTCGCACCCACTTCCATGTCAAAAGACCGCTCCTTCCGGTATCGTTTCTCCAGTGTGAAGCACACCATTGATGTGATGCAGACTGAGGCGCAGATCATCTCCAATATCGTCACCTTGTTACCGAACAGTTCATCCGGCGAGTAGAAAGCCATCATATCATTGGCCAGCGCCGCGGGGGGCAGCGTCGCCTCGCCGCGACCGCCCACCATCGCGTTCTTACGCTCACCGCACAGCGGGGCTTCACAACATCTGCACGCCGTGTTCTCCGAGTGCCACGTGCCACTACCGCACCGCATGTCCTCGGGGCAACAGAGCACGCGGACGGGCCCCTCTTTTGATGGAACCGTCAGTTGCCAATCATTAAACTCCTCCATTCGATCACGGAGATGCACACCGCTGCTACCCTCCCCGTCGGCACTCACATTGCCGAACCGCTCCACGTACGCGTCCACCGACATATGCTCCCTCACAAACGCGCCTGACAGCCCGAACAGTCCGTCCGCGTTGGGACTCACCGCGCGCCATTCGATGGGGTTCCCTCTGCGCCCTTCCACGCGCGGAAACTTCCGCGCGCACACCATGCACACGAGAGAATTGACGGCACCCTCGCGCAGACTCCGCGCATACTCGAACAGACATCGACGATCGATCGCCAGTGCTGCAAGCGGCGCGCCCGTTCTAACTTTCCATGCGATGGCCTCGTTGTACGCGGACCCGTACTGTGCCTCTCTTCGCCTCGTCTCGTCTTCTTCGTTGCAAGCGAGCGACTCCGCGACGTCCCGTAGATCCTCCGCGTGATTGCTTACCACATGCTCCTGGAGCTCTGCATTGCTGGACCCTCTCCACCCGCATCTGCTGAAAGCGCAGTGTGCTTGCGGCAGCACTACGGCACCTCGTGAGAAGATGGCTTCGTCTTCCAACGATGCTCCGTGCACGGAGACCGCTGGCACGGTGGGGTGCTCTTTCATAAGCTCTGCGGCAGCACGTAGACCTTCTTCCCTGCCCCCCCGAAAGACGTCCGCGGACACGCGGCCGTTCTCGACGGCGCGGACACGGTAAACGTGCGCTGCTCCCGCTGCCTCCGTGTAGTCGTTCTCCACCACCTGGGCCTTGCTCTGCTCCGTGCCGCTCCTGCCCGCACCGCCCGCACTCGCGTCCGCCCCTGCGCAACTCGGCCGCGCCGTCCTAGACCTCACTACTTCCTCGGACTCTCGACCCTCCTTGGCCGCGCTGGCCATGTCAGAACTGCGCGCCCTCTCCGGCCGCCTCACCGGGCGCGGAGAAGGCGGAGGGGGCGCCGCCTGGTCGAACGACCGCACCCCACTTCCGTGCTCCAAAGCTGACGTCTGAGCGCTGGCGCCCTGCTCGGCCAGCGTGCTTTTCCTCGTCAAGCGTGCGCGTTTCGCCGCCGTCTGCGATCCTGCGCCCTCGATCTGCTCCCTCCCTGGCCCGTTCACCTCCCGGGTTTCTCCTGCTTCCTGGGAAGGCGGCTTCCCGAGATCATCCTTCTCGGCACGCGCCCATACTGGCCTGTAACATGTGCTGCTGATGTCCACGCCTGTCTCGTTGTATATTTCAAAGCTTACTGCCCCTTCTTCCTCGGAGACATCGCCCTCACGTGGCCATTCGCCCAGCACCGGGCTGCCCCCCTGGATCTCCTCTCGGGAAAACGTCATGACATAGCCCCCGCGTGGCCCGACTTGCCCGTCAAAGCGGGAGTACGTGCGCAAGCTGATCCGGCCCGGCAGCACTACTGCTTGCGTGCCGTGGCGAGCCAACGCAAACCGCACGATCTCGCCTGCATGAGCGGCAACGTTCAGCTCTCCCCCATGCGACGCCAGGTTCAGCCACGCATCCTCGACGTTCCGCAAATACTCCACGCACGCTTCACATGCGACGCGGCGCTCCTCAGCGGACGCCAAGGCATGTCCACACCACCCGGCGTTCGACACAAGCTGGAATATAGCGTCCGCCAGGCTAGCGTTCACCCCATGTGCAAGCGCTGCGCCCACACAGCGGCCATCCCGTGCCATGTCGGCGACGCGTTCCCCGTCCGTCTTCGCCTCGAACACCACTTCCCCCATCAAGAATTCCATGAACTTGCACGTCCGTTCTTCCACGACGCGGCACCGATCCTCCGCATCGGGGGCGCCTGCCAGCGCGTCCCATGACTCCTCCCACCCCTGCCAGGCCCGTACCCACGTTTCTCGCATGACTCGCAGGAGACCTGCCGCGTCGCCCCACGCTTTCCAGAGATGAGCGCGCAGCTCTCCAGGCACGAACTCCAGTCCGGGAACGTCCAACACTTCCGGCTTCTCGCACGGACTCAGCAACAAACGCAGTGCGCGGATATCCGATTCCCTGATGACCCGCACTGGCGCCACGAGATCACAGGGCAGGATGTGCACCGCCGGAGCGCGACCTTTCCTGGCGGCGACGCCCTGCATTACCAGCCCCCCAGGACGCTTCTCCTTCGACGTCGCCGACGACGGTCCCTCCAGGTCGACCACGCCGCGTTCCCATGCCGCTGTTTCATTAACGCTTGACGAGCCCGAACGCGCTGCGCTCGAGGCCGCCCCTGATCTCAAGCCGTCGCCCCCCACCACTAACCCCGCCTCGCGCGCTCTCTCCGCCTCGGGCACCGCGGCCACGCGCGCGTACATCAGTATGTGCACCGACGAGTCGGAGGCAGTCTTCCATCCACGCGCGTCAGAAGGCGGCGCGCTCGGCCAGACTTCGCCGTCATCCCGCATTTCCCATCGCGCTCTGCCGCCATGCGATGTCCGGCAGCGCGCGTTATAGTGGCCAGTGTGGAACCCTTCGCCGTGGTGGAACACACAGCTCACCAGAGTGTACTTTTGCCCGCTGAGGCGCAACTCCTCACTCGGCATCACCGCATGCGGAACCTTCCAAACCCTTCCGGTAACTCCATCGTAAGCCTGCGCGACCAGCTGGATCCACAGACACTGCGGCGGCCTCGTCACCTGCAACTCCTTCCTCGCCTGCCGGCAGCCGCACCCTTTTGGGCACAACCACCTATAGCCCTCTCCCATCACCTCCCCGCCACAGATTCTGTCCACGGCCTCTTGCACTGTCCGCACCCGACCACTGGCATCCCTTGGTACTTGCACCATCAAACACGTCATGTCTCTGTCCCCCTCGACTTCCTGTGCCCCGCCGAAACCATCCATGGTGCACACGAGTCGCTCCGCTTTCTCCATCCGGAAAATCTCACTGACGACCGGCGACCGCCCGTCGTGCAACAATTCCTGCAAAAACTCCCCTGCGTCTTCCTGCGCCTCATCATAAAACACGGGCGGTAATGCCTCCAACCTGATCGGCCTTCGCCCTCTGTTGTTCTCCATCTCCCACAACGTCTCGGCCAACAATTTGTCAAAGTCTGGGCTCGCCCGGGACCTCTGCTCCGCGCTGTTGCGCTCCGAAAACCGCCATCCACCCCAATCTTCAGGGGTGCCCCGCCGCACTGTGCGCAACGCCGCTCGCACGTCGTAGATGGCGAGGAGTCCCTGCACCGGCGCGTTCATGAAGCAATACCACCTCGGGTTACGCAGGCCTGGAAGCGTCAGCAGCGCCCCATCCACGCGACTGCTCGCGGCGTCTGTCAGACACCGCTGTTGGTCCGGAGCGGCGCCCCCCGATGCCGCGGCAGCGCTCCTTCGCGGCCCCGCGGACGCTTCGCCACCCGCCGCTGCTCTCAACCAGGGAGCGTCCTCCCGTGCGCTTTCCGCACCGCGCAACGCGTTCCATCCTCGAGCTACGCGAACTACATGTCCTCCTTTGAGCCAGACTGCCGCGCCCACGCAAGGACCCCCCGCGTCTCCCAGCGGCCACCTCGGCATCGGCGTCTGCTGCATGACGCGATCCACACTTTCCGCTGCGTACATCCAAACGAACGCCCTTTGGCGCACCAGCCAAGACTCAACGGCGACCATGTTCTGTTTTGCCTCGTCATCCGCGCCGCTTTCCCCAGATGCCGCGTGGTTGCCGCACGCCCTCTCAAAAGTTCGACAAGCTTCTCTCCGCCACCGGCCGCGACGCATTTTCGCCACCGCCACTTGCACGCACTTGTTCCCGAACCGCCCCAAAGTGTCTCCGTCTTCTGCCAGCGCCGGCTGCGAGCAAAACGAATGCGGTGACGCATAGGCCGCCCACGCGGTGGCAACGCGCAGCATACCATGGCCAACAGTCTCGAAACCGTCGAGAGCCAAAGCCGCATGCCACCGAGCGCGATGTTCCGAACTATCCGTGTTCTCGCTGTCCTGCTGGAATTGCCGCCGCGATGTCCGACACGCGCCGACCCCTTGTGAACGACGCGCATGCCCGCGGCGCGCGGGCCCCGCACGGCGAGCCTCGCGCCCCGACACCCATAGCGCGAGGTGGCACAGACCACACGGATTCGACGCGTGCCCGAGCGACGCAAAGAGGATGGTGCGCACCGCGTCGAAAAACAACGATTCCGCCGACTCTTTCATCTGCTGCCCAGCAAAACCGCGGGCAGCGCGCTCGCGTGAGACGCCGCGCTGTCGTGTCCGGGGCCGCACCATGGACCACCGCGCCACTGACCTCTCATGGGGTGTAGCCTCGCTCCTTCTCGCGGCGCCGCAGCTCACACCGTACCTCTTCGTGATGCCTGTCGTGCGGTTCAGGAGCGGTCTACCTCCGCGGCTCCTTGCGACGTCGCCCGCGCGTCCCCTGCGAGCCCGGCGCGTGCGTTTGCGCCGCGCAACACGGCCACACCTGGTCCACCGTCGAGTCGAACGCCTGAAATTCCACGCGGGCTGGCGCTCCTGCCGCGCCCTCCGTGCCCAGCGGTTTCCAGCGGACTTGCAGCCCTGACCTGACAGCGCCCCCTTTCGAAGAACACACGTGGGGCCAGGGCCACGCGGAATGGACAACGATCGCTCGTGCGCACAATTCCTCGTGAATGATCGCCTTCTCTCGTTCAGCACAAGCGCTTCGGGACCGAATGGCGACAGCGTCCACGTTCTATTGCGCACGGGAGGAACCTGGAAAAAATTCGCGACGCGCTCCCCCCGATATCATCGAGAGGACGCGCCTGGGACAAAAATCGCGATGGCTTCCCCTCTCTATCGCTCGGAGAACGAGTGCGGGGACAGTTTCGCGGTAGCTCCCCCCCCCCCTCTCGTCTGGAACGCGCGCCTTTCGGAAAATCCGCGATAATTTCCCCCTTCTACGGCTGGGAGAACGACAGCGGGAACTTCCAGGAAATATGTTCCTTATTGGATGTTCGCAGTGCCGCGGCTTACCCACGACACACCCCTCCCGGGGGACCGGCTTGGACACCGGCGCTCCATGCAACATTGGTACACGACCCACATGGGGCCGCATACCAATGCACCCCTTTCGGGGGACCGGGTTGTGGACACCGGCGCTCCCTTCGAGATTCTGGCTCTCGGTGAGCCCTTTGGGATTGTGGCTCCCAGTCAGCCCTTTGGGATTTTGGTTCCCAGTCGACCCTTTGGGATTCTGGCTCCCAGTCGGCCTTTGCTTTGCGCGAGGCCCCATCCCCGCCTTCGGGGGGAGTACCGGACGAACCCACCCCGCCGAAGGGCTTGGGCTTCGCCGTTTACTCCCCCCTCCACCAGGAATGGGACGCGCGATTAGGTCCTAGTTGACTCCGGAAACGATGTCAGATGACATGAGAACCAGGAAACCAGGAGAGAGGCCCGCCATGCATAGAACCGCTTTCGGCCTGATTGCGGGGGGTCCTCGGAAGTGGCTCCGGAGTCTGGGAGCGGGAGTGAAAAGGGGGTGGAGGAATGAGAAAGGGTGGAGAGAATGGTCTGTGGACGGTCTTGGGGTGCCCCTTGAGCCATCTTGGCATCTTGCGACCAGCTCGGGGGTCCGACCGGAGCCAGCCTGCCTGGGACGTCTGACATGCTTGGGGACCCGTCTGGGGACAACTTGGACTGTCTCCGAAGGTATTGGAAGCCCCAGATGCCCCAATAGCAGCCCAAATGCAATCTGGGGAGGGCTTGGGCCCAGGGGCCGCCTGGGCCAAAGATTCCGCATGGAACCGAACCCCAGACCTGAAAATCTGCGTGTACGTGGCACGTGCCCCCTGAGCTTCCCGACGTACATCTGGGAACCCCTACGTCTTCCCGCGCAACTTTTTCGAGCCCGCGGAAAGCTCAAAACGGGCCCAAAGGGCCCCAAAAGGCCTTCATAACGATCCTACTGGACACCGAGATGCCAGCCTCCAGAACGACCCGTTGAACAATGCCTCCCCCATGCTGTTGTCTTTCCTGCTTTTCATCTTCCCCACTCCTCGCGATTCGGGTGACGGAACCTGCCCCAAGAATCCTGAAATCTATCCACGCGTTGTCGCGGGGCATATGCAGTACACAATCCCCCCACCTGTGGTCTTGCCACAGAGATGCGCGGCGTGCCAACTTTCTACCTTCTTGACATCTTGCACAACCCGTGGCGAGAGCAACCGCAACAGCAATGGCGGCCTCGGCGACGCCAAGCAAGCTCTGAACACCAGAGCAGCTCAAACCTACACGCATCGCCCCGATCTGGGGTCGGCGGCAGAGGCGGCAGCCTTTAGATATACACCACAAATAATCCCCATACTATTTTTGGACAACTTTTTTGAATATTTTGGGGTATCTTTTATTTTTCGTCGAAAATCCCCCTGTAGGGGGACAGGCCGACTTAATCCTAGCTGCGTGGTGCTCGTGTCCCCGCCGCAGGTGCGTACCGACGACAGCGGTTCCCGCCCGGAACTTCCTCGCAATGTGCTCTGGGAGGCCCTGGCCACAGACTTCCCCTAACTCAGGTGCGGCGCTTTTGCTCGAGACCGAACGGTTCACGGGTTGGTGAAGGTTGGTGCAGGATCAGCTGCGACGACCACGGCCCCCGCTCGATGCTTCCTCGCAATCTACTGGTCATGCGGATTTTCGCACTCAGGCGCGGCGTTCTCGCCCGACACGTCTTCGCAATATGCTTCCCCGTCGTTTATTTTTGGGCGCCCGAAAAACCCCAAACTCAGGATCGGCGCTCTCTACTAAGACTTTCTCGCAAATTCCTCAAGTTGGTGGGTTGCCCGCGGTCGCAATAGCTCGCATGCTGGCCATGGGCCATGGCGGCGCGGTGCGCGCGCGGGGTGCGCCGCTGAATGCTTTGCCCCAGTGCTGGCATGAAAAGATGCCATCCAAGAAGGGGTTGGTCCATAGACTCAGTGGGCGGGTGCTGGAGTGGACCGGACTGTGCTGGAAATCTGGGGCTCCAAATGATCTCTCTGCTGACGTTTGACTTGGACTTCGCAACTAACAGATCGCAGCTGCCGAATGTTCGGATAATCTCGAATGTACTGCATGCCGCTGGCGGACTCCCAACCCGACGCCGCCCTCTGCAGAGCAGCGCCTGCCGCGCCTGGCCGCGCGCCAGCGCTCGGGCACGCAGCCCTGCCAAGTGGGCTCTCAAGCGCCCCGCCCGTCCACCCGGGCGCCCAGCCGCGACCGCTGGGCGACGCCCGCCCCTTCCCTCTGCTCAACAGGCGGCAAAAGGATTACTGGTACTGCAGGCAACTCTGGTCGCGAATGGCTCGGAGCCCCACTCGCGCCCGAACCCGGTGAAGGGGCCCTCGAGGCCTGGGCGGGGGCACCCTGAGAAATGATGCCTCTGGAAGCACGTTTCTGCGATCTCGAACTGGGCTGCGTCCACCTCGCTCGCGACCGCCCCCGGGGGGCGCCGACCTCTCGACCGGCTCCAACGTCGTCGAGCCCGGGGGCCGTGTCCCGACGACGCGCCGCGCAGACTGCGCCCCCTCCGCGGGCGGGCCCGGGCCGCGCCGATAGCGTCGAGGGCTCGCCGGGGGCGCCCGGAGCTCGCTCTCGGGGGCGCGCGGGCGTGGATCGGCGATGCACGGATCCGGCGCGCGGTCGCCAAAACCCTCCCCCAAATGCGGCCGGCGCCGCCTCGTTCGGCGGCGAAGTCCGCGGCGGGGCCCGTCGCTGATCCGCGCCCCCTTGATCCATGTTTGCGATCGCCTGGCGATCGTCTGGGCCCCGAGGGCCGCCTCTGCCTTCTCCTCCGTGGCCGACGGCGCGGGCGTCGCTCCTGCGTGCGCCGCCGCCGCGGCGAGATGCGCGGAGCGGCGCCCGCCTGATGTTCACCTTCTCGCCGTGCTCGCGCCGCGCCCCGAAATCCTTTTCGAGCTCGCGTCGGACGAAATATCAAACATAGCCACAAGGATGGAACACTATTTTTTAACCATTCGTCAATGTTCCTCCCGTCGGGGGACGCGCCCGACACAAATTCGCGCCGCGCCCCCCCCCGCCCCGCCTGCCGCCGCGCCGCGTCGAGCCCGCTGGTCTTGGGGGGCTCGCGCTGCTAGCGGACTGCCGGCGCCGAGCCCGCTGGCCCCCGAGCGACGGCGAGGCAGAGCTTGCTCGCGGCCTCCGGTGGCCGCGCCTGCCTGTTGCCCCCGCCGCCGCTGCCCCGGCCTCGCCCTCCGTCCTCCTCGCGGCCCCCTGGTCGCCCGCCGCCCCCTGTGCGTCTTCTTGCCGGGCAGCTTCAACTTGAACCGGCGGAGAGTCTCCACCTGGCCATCGTGGCCGCCGTTCGCGGCCGCCGCGGCCGCCCCGGCGTCGCGCGTGGGCGGCGGCGGTGGCCGGAAGGGGAGATGCTCGAGCCCTCGCGCCGACGTGGGGGGTGCGCCAGCGAAGCGGGGGGGGGCGCCGTCGATCCGAGCGTGAAGGCCCCCTGGTCGAACGACTCTCCCCGGTCAGCGATCCGCGTGGGTGGCGACCGCGTTGGGCTGGCTTCGGCAGCCATGTCTGCAACTGGTGCATATGTTGTAGAATATTGGGGCCCGTCGTAGATGGTTCATCGTGTCCCGTTGGTTGCGGAATGCTGCTGTTCGTGCTATGTGCTCCCCCATCCACATCCGTCGTCGTTCCTCGTCTCATCCTGGCGTTCCCCGTCGCTGCCCCTTCCTTGGCCGGATGGGTTCCCGTGGCCCCTCGTCTGGGGGATTGCCGTGGCCCCTCGTATGGCGGGCGGTCTCTGCTTCTCCAGGGAGTAAACCTGGGTCTCGAGTTCCGACGAATCCATCGAGGCAGCTCCAAGGCCCTCTCAATACCTCCCAAATCACTCAAGTCGCGCGTTGGTCCGTTCAAAGCCGAGCTGTCCATCGCCTTTGCTGCTTCCAGGATATCGGAGTGCAGCTGCGACCCGCGGGGCAGCAAAACTTATGGAACGAGCGCGACGCAACTGCGTCCGCGTAGCACCCGCCCGGGGCGCGCCGAACAAGCAGCGCGAGACCTGGGCGTTGTGGGCGGGGTCACTGGCCCACGACTGGTATGTGGTCAGGCGTCGCGCCCTGGGCTCAATCATACTCGGCGTGAGTCGCAATTGTGCCGGCGCCTGCTTCGTGGTCAGAATGCGAACGTGGCCGGACGATCCCGCCCCTCGGCGACGCTGTCGAAACACCCCCCCCCCCGCGTGAGTGCGATGCGGCCGAATGCTGCTGGCCCCCTTACCACGTCCGGCATAGTTCGCCAAGGGGAAGCACCACCGCATCCAGCCCAATGAGCAGAACGTTCGGACCGAACCCCATTCGACGAAGACGTTTCCAACTTTCGGGAAAACGAAGGAACCAGGTGCGCCCTAGCTGTGAAACGACATTCTCGGTGATTGCAGCCTTCGTGCAGTCTCCTGAGAAGCCGAATCGCGTGGCGCAATGAAGGGGCCCGAATGTTAGGGCTCGTCGTCGCGTGCTCCCTGCAGCGGCCGTGGGGATAAAAAAATGGCGGCGCGCGCAACAGCGCTAGCTGAAATAAAACCGGCACCCCTGCTTTCCGGCATCCTGCCCATGTCCAAGTGGGCAGAGGCGCCCTTTCAGGTGCTCGTCAATCGTTTTGATTTTACTCGCGAGCTCCATGAAGCTGCTCCCCGAATTGGCCGGCCCGAAATTGTTCAGGCCATCGGCGAAATTTGATGACGATCAGTCCGCGCGGTGTGGGCCGCATGAGGCCGCCGGATCTTTAGCCACTTTGCCTCGTCTCAGCACGTCGTAACTCCGACAAACCACTGGGCGCGTGAATGTAGCAAAGAATATCCAGAACATGAAGGGGTCGCCCATCATTCCCCCCTGACATGGTCGAACCGCCGCGCCTCCGGTGCTGGGGGGCCACTTTCGAAGCGATGGGCGCGCCCGGGGTCATCCTGCTCCGGGGCGTGCAGGTGAACTGAAACCTGCGTGGCATCATGCGAGCTGCTGCCGAAAGCGTTGCGGGGGTTCGTGAGGCGCAGGCTGTGATCGCGTGTTGCCGCCCGCGCTCGCCGCGACTTGTGGAGGGCAGTCGGCGCAGCCGCCCCTCTCCTCCGTCCTGCAACAAACCCATGACCAACAGTAATTGTGAAAAAGGCTGGGAGCTTCTGGGAATGTATGCTTTTACTTGCGGCCGGTAGACCCCTCCCGCCGCCCCGCCGCCCAGGTGCCAATAGCGTGGTGCACTCGTACAGCCCCTCCTTCTCCTCCTCCTCCTCCTCCTCCTCCTAATGCGAATAGTGGCGAATTTTGTCGAAGCCCACGTGCAGCAACCAGAAAATCTTGGCCCGGGACGGCCCGTCAGCCGCGAATTCACGCCCGCGTCGGCCCTGAACCCGCACTGCGGACAGAGGGGCATATGCCGCGAGTCGCCGTGCGCTGAGAGCCGACCGGCACTGTGGGCGCAGTGCGATATGGCGACGAAGATCTTCGACATCTTGTTTAGCCATGGCCGTGAAGTCGGGGTCGTTGAAGACGAGGGGATGCCCGGCCGCGTCCTCCCGCATCGGATCCCCGCGCCTCCCAGGTCGGCCTCCTGCACCGACGTGCTGCCATCGTCTTCGGGGCGACTCCAGAAATCCAGCCGCGCTGCTTTTGAGGGGGGGGGGGGGGGCAGCCAACGGGGCGCCCGCCCCTCTTCTTGGAACTAAGCCTGTATCGGGATGCCCTTCACGAGGCCGCCGTGGCCTCCGCCGTGCGCCTTTGCCCCCGTGATGTTCGGCGGCCTTGGTGCGGAGTGCCTGGTGAACCTGCTTCTCCGTCGCTCCCTCCTGTTCCCTCCTGTTCCCTCCTGGCGTTCGCCTTTGTCCCGACTAATTCTCGCGGGCTTGCACAATCCTGTCTGTGCTCTGGACGGACCTCCCAGAAGCCTGACAAATGCTTAATGCCTGCTGAACGAATCGTCGATCCCAACAACTCGAATATCTCATCGTGGGGTGCCCAATCACGAAGGTGAAAAATTGGAACCCCTCGTAGCTCCTCCGTTTGCTGTAAGAACTCCCATCTGCCCTCGTCACTCCTCAAACTGATTACCATTCGATCGCGATCCCAGAACTGTCCTCGATGTTCGTGAAATTGTCAAAGTAACCCCCCCTGTTGCAACTCATCGTGAGCACAACTGGAATCTGATCTCTCGGGGCAGTCCCCGAATAGGTTGTGATCTGGCACCAATTTCTCGCAGTTGATGGCGAACAGAAGCGAAACACACAACACTATCCACTGGAATGCGCGCGTAATCGATATGGCTACATCCGGTATTCGAGAAGAACGTGCCTTCCACCAGGGTCGTTTCACTCACAGCTGCCATTGCCAGTTGTTTTTTGTTCAACATTAAGTGTGAACTTGCGGCTCGCTTCATTGCGAATGCGTTTGCGAGTTGGTATGCCAGCCGTGTCCGAAGGTGTCGCGTTCCACGTTCCCTCAACCCACCCCTCCCCCACCCGCACCGTCGTTGAAGTCGATGTGAAACATTGGTGTGCATCTTAGCGGCAGTTCACTGCGTCGCTTCTCCAACCGAGTAGCTCGTGGTGACGCCGTCTTAAGATGGCCTGCCTCCTTTTTCTTCGGACGTGGGGGGCGAACAAAAGAAAGCCGATAGACACACGGCAGCAGACATGCCCCTTCCGTGTCCTTCTCGCGACGCGAGGCCGTCGGGCCAACGTTCCTCCCCTCCGGCCTGCGGTCCGCCCCCGAGAGCAGCTGGTCCTGCGCCGCGAGGGAGGCCGACAGCACCTGCATGCTCGAGTCGGCGGCTAACAGATGGGGATCTGAGGGCTGGGGCCCTGGGCCTACGGCAGCTTCGCGTCGTGCCGAACCCCGCGTTGGCTACGGGCACACACCAGCTGGCCCTTGCTTCGCACGTGCTCCCGCCGCCCTTCCGGTCGCTCCCCCTGGTGACCTCCACGCCTGGCCAGGCGCACCCCCCCCCCCTCGAGAGCGACGGCCCCCAGCTGCCACGGAGACACCGCAGCCGGAGCTGCTCACGGGCTCCCCAGCGTGGCAAACCGCCAGCAGACAGCGGCCAACCCCGACGACGCAGCACCGGCGCGCCGCGCAGGCGCCTTCTCATCCGGGTGCCCGCCGGCGGAAAAAAAAACAGACATTCTCCGGATCCTGCCATATCTCATCCAATATCGTCCCAGAAGCCTACGTCGGGTTGTGCCCCAAGATGTGGAGAGAGGTGGGGGCAGCAGACATGGCGTCCCGCCGATGCTGGGATCGAGGCGGGCGAAGGAGTGAAGGTACGCGGCAGAGGAGTGACATGGCGGCGCCGCCCGAATCAGCCACCCTGAACCCTCGTGGGCTAGTGGGCGGGTACAAGGGACAGGGAGAGACATAAACAAAACTCATGTCAGCCTGTTAGGTCATATGTTCGCAAGATGATCGTCGTCGTCGTCGTCGTCGTCGTCGTCGTCGTCCGCCGTCCACGGTCCGCCGCAGCCGTGACTCGTCTGCTTCGCGTTGTCGTCGTCGTGGTCGTCGTCTATTGTCGTCGTCATCGTCGTCTATTGTCGTCGTCGTCGAAAACGTCGTCGGCGGTGTCCTCGCCAGAGGCCACGTCGCGCGTGGCGCGCAGCACGAACGGGTCCTGTGCGGCCCCTCCCTCCGCTGCACGCTTCGGGAACCCTGCGGGGGAGGGTGGGGGAACTTCGGCCAGGAAGCGCACCTAGGGGAACGAAGAATGACACAAACATCAAAACTCGGAGGTCCGCGCGGATTTCTCGCATCGGCGCTGGACCCCTCCCTGGCGCGCGGAGCGCGCCAAGGGCGGCGCCGGAGGCGCCGCCCCTAGCGCCAGGGTCGTCAGACTGGTCGCATGCTGACAAGCTGGATTCAGGGGCCTTTGAGCTGGATTTGCTCGGACTAAACCCATGATTTGACCGAATCGACTGGGACTAAATATAACCAACCAGAATTGCGCGGGGCTTGCCCAGATTAGGCCTGTTTCCGACTACGTATGTAGCAACGCCGATGCTGACTTTGACTAACACCCCAAACATTGCATCCAAACGTCGGGGTGGACTGGGGGAGAGTAGCAAAGAGAAGGTTCGGGAAACAACTGCACGCCACTGGTTTTCCTGACCCCTGGAACAGCGAACGCCGTAACAGGAGGAGGACGATGAGAAAGGAAACTGGCCAGGGAGAGGGGACGAAGGGAAACAAAGGGAATCGGAGGAGTGAGGCAATGACATTCAGCAAGGAGGTAGCTAGAGAGGAACAGGAGGAGGGGGCGGAGAAAAAGGAGGGACGGAAGAAGGATGAAGAGTTCTTTTGAGCTCCGAACCCGGCTCCTCCTGACTGCTTCCAAGCAACACTGACGACTGCAGCCGAGGGACGCGCAGCGGCCCTGAGAGAAAACCTCGTCAGACTCGTAGGCCCTGTCCCCTGTCCCCTGTCCCCTTCCTCCTCCTCCTCCTCCTCCTCCTCCTCCTCCGCCTCCTCCCACTCCCCCTCCTCCTCGGCTTCCTCCGCCTCCTCCTCCCCCTCCTCCTCCTCCTTGGCACGAGCCGGCCCTCAGTGTCCTCGAGGGCGAAAGACGCGCGCACGCGCTGGAGGACGGCACTCTGCAGGGCGCCTCGACGAGGCGCTGCGGCGGTGTAGCCAGGCACGGCAAGAGCTCGGGCGGGGCTCCACGGTGGCGGGTCGAGAGCTGACGCGATGAATCAGGCTTTCGATGTCCACTCCATCTCCTCCTCAACTAGGGGAATGCAACATGGCATAAACATAAAAACTCGGACCTTTGGGGCGGCGCCGGTGGGTCCAGCGCCGACCGTCGCCGTGCGCCGGCAAGGGTCAAAGACTAAAACGGCCGACGTGGTCAGAGGCCTGAGCCGCGAGGTCGGGCGCGCGACCGAGAAAACTCTCTTGCGCAGACGCCGCAGATCCCAATCGCTGGTGCCCGTGATTTCAGGGCCATGCGAAGCGCCGGCCAAGAGGCCCGCATGGAAAAACACCGAGGACCTGCTTGCGAGTGAGGACGTTGTTTGTCGTCTGAGCCTCTTGAGGCCCTGCGCGTTGTGGCCGGCCGGGCCTCGCGGTTGGCGGGCCGGCGAGCCGCCCGAGCGGCGCGGCCAGCGGTGTAGTCCATGCCTACATTGACCGCGCTACTAAAGAAATTGCCCCCGCGCTCGCGGAGCTGTGCGGCTACGGCGACTCCGATGGCCGTGATTGAGGCAGCGACGGCAGTCTTGTCCAGCGCGAACCTGCAGCCGAAGGGGAACTCCGCCACCTTGTGCAGCGCCTTCGCTCCCTGAAAAATATCGCGCGGGCTTCGGAATCCGTCGCAGACGACCCCGAGGAAGCGTCGAGGTCGAGATTCCCTGGGGGGGGGGTCGAGTCGTGCCCTGCCTGACAGACAACCCCGATGAGCGTCGCGGCCGTCGAGCAGCCGGCGACCGCCCCGCTCTGGCAACAGAAAGGGGCCTCCAGCCAGCCCGCTAAGCGCATGACTCGCCCACATCTGTAGGCAGACAGACAGAGGCGAGTGAGGGCCAGGTCGACGCCGAGCCTCTTGTATCTCACCTCGCGCCTTGACGGCGAGATGATCTCATGGGCCTCGACAGGGTCGAAGAACGCGCTGCGCGAAGAAAGCTACCTGGCGACTCCGCTCTCTGAACGGGCCGCCAGTCGCCGCGCGACGTCGGCAGCGCCTCGAAACCGGCCCAGGGCCATGGAACCTTCTCAGACGGCCCCAGCCCCTCGGCCAGAACCAGAAGACCCCGATAGGTCCGTGGTCTCCAATCGGTTTCGGCAACGGCGCGATCAGGGCAGCATAACTCTGAAATGGCCGGCGTCCGACAGCTTCAATGGGCGAAAGCGTGCGCCCAAGCATTCCCATGCAGGGTCAGGGGGGCAGGGAGGTGCCTGCAATGGAAGCCGGCGGCAGAGACCGCCGACGCTTCCTTCGTGGCGTTAGCCAGAGACCCCCCGAATCCCATCGAACGACGGGCGGGGCGAGGCGGGGGCGGCTCCAGAGCCGCGCTTTCGCGCCTGGGCAGGAATGTTGCCGTCGGGTCACAGCGGCGACGAAGGGTCGCTAGCAATGCAACCGTCGCGCGAGTGCAGGAGAGGGCCCGCGGACGCTCTCTTCGCCCCCTTGTCCACCCCAATGCGCAGCCGAGCCTTGCAGTCGGACAGACTCTCGGCCGCGACCCTGAGGTCAGCGGTCTCGACGGCCTCGAAGACCTGGGCGCGAGGGTCGCCGAACGGCCCCGCGCCCCCGCGCATGTCAAAACGCGGGGGGCCTCCAGGGCCGCGCGCTCGAACATGGCCTGGTGCTTCGCTCGGTGGGCGGAGATGCCGGCGGGTGGCGCCGTCAGCTGAGGGCCAAACCTGACTGTCGACTAGGACCTGGCATCGCGTCGCATGCCTGCATGAAAGCGCGCTGTTGCTGCTCGAGCCACCTGTTGAATGGTGCTCGGGGTGGCGGGCCTTGCCGTCTCTGCCGGGCGCCGAGCGCCGGGCGAGCTGAAGGCTTACCTTCCTGGCCTCCATCGGGGGGTCTGCTCGCCGATCGCGGGGGCAATCTCTCTTTCGGCTGCGTCGGCCCAGAGCTGGTTTAACGGTCCTAACGGTCCCGAGAGGCCCCTGGCTCCCCTGTAGTCAGAGTCGCTCGCGCGCTGCAAGGCACTGTTGGCGAGACTGAGAATGCCGCCCAGATTCCCCCCCTTTGGGGCGGGGCCGAACAGCGGGGGGGAAGGGCGCGGGGGGGGTCCGTGGAAACGTTCTCCACGGGGCGTTGGGGCGGAGGGTCGGTATCCAAGAGAGCGCCAATCGACTTGATGCCCCTGCCGAGCCCGCTCGAGCACGCGCAGTGGTCAACGGTGGTGGGCGGCCCAACTGGAAATTGCGTGCGCGAGCTGGGGGTCGCGTGGCCCCCTTTGACTTCCAAGACGCACGACTGCGCTTCGAGCATAGCGGGCTCGAAGTTGAAATCCGCGCCCCCCAAGCGCGCGAGGGCGCCCGTGTTGCCGTTGCTTGGGCGTTCGGAGTGCACGAGGTAGCGGTGGCAAATGCGCCTCGTGCGCAATGCGCTGCCGGCGGCGGAGGCACCCTCCGCAATCCCGCGGCAGCCGGGCCAAGGCTGGGCGAAGATGGCCACGCTGGGAGACGTTTTCTGCGAGGCGGTCGGAATGGCGGGGGCCCAAATGGATGTCCAACCGCGGCGACAGCGCTGGGCGCTCGCCTGACCACTGCGCCCCCCCCTCCCCCTCCCCGTAAAAACGGTGCAACTGAAAGAGCATGGCGTGGGCGGGTGTGTTCTCGAGCAAAACTCTGAGCGTGCTCTTGCCCGCTGGCGTTGATGGCGTGCGCCCTGGTCGCCGCCGAGCTGGGGTCGGGGCCGGGCGGGGCCTCTATGCTGGCGCCAGCGGTGGCCCTCGACAGAGGGCCTTGCTGAACTCTGCGAAGACAGGTAAACTTGTGCAGCCCAATCAGGTTCGGACGAGGTCGGGGCCTCTAGCTCCGACTGGCGAGAGGGGGCGGCTCATCAGGAGGAAGCCCGACGCAGGAGACGCGATGCTTCGCTGCAGACTTGCCTAGCGACATCGCAGGATAGCGAGCAGCAGGCAGCGCGGACAAGGTGGGCGCCTGGCTCTTCTTGTGAGACATCTTGCGGCGCCAATCGGGCCGTCCCAGATGTCGGCGGCCAAGGCGGCGCGTGAGACGGGCGCAGCGCGCCGCTCTGTCGTCCAATCAACCTCGGAGGCAGCCCGGCGTCCGATGAGGTGGCGAGCAAGGGGGGGGGGGGCTCTCGCCCCGCGATGCGGCCCGCGCCATCGATGGCACCAGTTTTGAACAAGGAAGCGAATCCAGTCTCCTCTGGGGCCGAGACAGGTAAGAGCCTTCAAGTGGGCCTGGCGTCCCGAGAGCGGCCGGTCCTTCGACCGCGGAACCCAGGGGCCAAGAAGCCATGACTGGAGGATTACTCGTTCGCTCCAGGGGGGGAGGGCCCAGTGGATTTCGCGGCGGCGGTCCTGTCGGCGTGCGATGGGGCCGTCACCGCAGCAGCGGTCGCCGTCGCCGCAGCAACGGGGGCGGCCTGTCCTCGAGCGGGCCGTGGAGCTCCAGCAGCAAGCTCGGGAGGAGCAGCCGCGTCCGCGGCGGCCGGGGGCCCGCCTGCTAGCTGCCGAGGCGATCCCGCGGGGGTTCAATCTCTAGCCCCCCCCCGTCCTCGCTGCCCGCTGCGCGCGCGATGCCTTGGGCGAGACCACCTGGGCAAGTGCAGCGACTCCACCCTAGTCGTGATGCCAGTCTTGAACTGATTCACCATGGGCGCGGACTCGGTGTGGGCACCCATGGGCGCGCCGACTTCGCCCGCGACCACGAAAGAACATCCATGGTCCAGGTCGCTGACGCGAAGCGTTCTTTATATTTTTTCTTTCGGCGCAGCTGAAAGCCGCGCGCGGCCAGCCGGACGTGACAATTGAGGGTCAAAGAACATGCAAGTCGACATCTTGGGTTATGGTGCTGTGCATGCAGCGAGGACTTCGGAGCCCGCGCGAAGCGTTGCTCGTCGAATGGGGACCTCCGGGGAGAGCTCATGGCCAGCCTGCTCGCCCCGCCTGCGGTGTCGCTCTGGCCTGCGGCCAGCAGCTCATTGTGCAGACGTCGCACAAGACCTCCGCGCTCGGACTCAGCTTCGACGAATTCGGCTCGAAGCAACACTGCATTCGTACGTTGTGCTTCTAGCTTGGCCTCCAGCTGCTTGTACATGTGAAGCGCCGGCCCAAGGCTCTTCTTTACCATGCGAGCCTTCTGATGCGCTCGACTGAACCGTGCTTGAAAAGGGTTCGAACTGTCATGTGGGAGGCTGTAGGGCAGCCGCTGCCGTCCTGTGGGCTCGGGCTCCTCGGGCATCTGCGAACTTTCGCACAGTCGCGCCAAGTGCGAATCCACCGACCCTGTCGGCGTGTGACAGGGGCTGTTCCGTCGCCATCGCCGTCGCTGCCGCCGTCGCGTCGCAGCCGCCAACGCGTCCCCTCCTTCCCCTGAATCGGTCTCCGCTCCCCCTTTCCTTGGGCCATCGTCCGCAAGCACGCCAGCCAAGGCGAAATACACCAGCCCATTCACAGCGAAATTAAGCAACATTTTTATTGAGTCGAATGGAAGCCCCTTCCCTTTGATCCCCTCCCCGCGGAGAGGGGGTCCTGGGTCAGAATACCATCCTCCCGGGGCCCATGGCCCGCCATCTCCCTCCCATTTCCATCGGGGGCCGAGGCCTCCAAGGTCGGCGGCACCGACTTTCAGGCCTTAGCAATACTCCTCGTGGGACACCGGTGGCTGTCCCGTGTCCCCCCCGTTGCTTCCAGCCCGAGCACCTTGTTGCGCTCCTTTGCCTTATCCTTCGCCTTCTACCCGGGCTTGTCGAACCTGTGGACACGGTCGAAGAAAACAGCGCAACATCCGATTCGAGTGCTCCGCCGTGTTTGCAAAAAAGAAGCGGCCCTCTTCTTGTTACAATCGCACCACCGTTGTGCTGCCGTGCCTACCATGGAACTGTCAACAGGAGCGTCGCGAACACGACCTTGGATACCAAGTACAAACGGGGGCCACGCCTCTGGATCACGCCTCAGGGGCAGCCGCGTGGTTCCGAGACAAAAAAGTCCCGGGTTCCCTACTCCAAGCTGCAGACGCAACGAAGACTTACCCTGTCCTCGATGCTACGTTGCCCACGAGAAACGTCACACTTCTTCCCACCATCGCCGTTGCCCACCATGGCTCTGGACGAAACGTGGTCGTTAACTACTCCAGCAAGAGCTTCGAATGACAAGCTCCCGACAGGGTTGCAAACGTGAGAATGGCGGGTTGGGATCTCACAAGCTGAAGCCATAATGACCCGCAATTGCAACGTACCGTTCTGGAGAGATACGTGTGTAAACGCAGGCGCAACTCCTGAACCAGAACGGCTAAGATGAATGAAGAGGGAGGTGGCTGTGGAGGAGGAAGAGGAGGAAGAGGCGGAGGAGAAGGAGGATGAGGAAGAGGAGGAAGGTAAACATGAGGAGGAGGAGGAGGAGGAGGAGGAGGAGGAAGAGGAGGAGGAGGAAGAGGAGGAGGAGTTGGAGGTGGAGGAGCAGCAGCAGCAGCAGCAGCAGCAGCAGCAGCAGCAGCAGCAGCAGCTGCAAAAGGCGGATCAGAAGCAGGACGGCGGCATCGAGAGGAGGAGGAGGAAGGAGGAAGTGCGTGCGGAGGAGTGAGATCGTGGGGAGGGTCACAAGAATGTCACAAGAAATGCGCAACATCTCCTTATCCAATACAGTCATTCCGCCTCCCGCCTCCCTTCTCTTGTTCTTCCTCCTTCTCCTCCTCCCGACGTCTCTTTCTCCTCTCGTCCTCCTTCTCCTCCTCCTCTGCTCCCCAAGGTTCCGAAGGACCACCGCCCCAACCCCTCTGGAACATCCTGAAACCTCCCGTCCCCTCCCCCTTGCCTCCCCCTTTTCGCCGACGCCTCCTCCTCCTCTCCTCCGCCTCTTCCTGGGGTCCTTGTGGCCTCATCCGCTCTGACGTCGTCGTCGTCGTCGTCCTCGTCTTCTTCTTCCTCCTCCTCCTCCTCCTCCTCCTCCTGCTCGCCGCAACCGCCGCCGCTGTCAAAGTCGCCGACGTCGTCGCCCCCCCGCCGCCGACCCCCCTCGCCGTCGCTCCGCCCGCGGCGCCACGGCCGCCGAGGCCGATCACACGCCGCCGGAGCCGCCGCCGCCGCCTCCGAGCGCCGACTGGCTGGGGCGGCAGGTCCTTGCTGGTGTCCAGGTCGGCGCACAGCTCCGCGGCCTGCGCCGCGGCACGCGCGCAGGCGCGGCACGCGCGAGCGAGCGGCGCAGGCTGCGAGCAGGCAGGGGGCCCGCGCGCGAGAGGCCGCGGCCTCGCATCGTGCGCCGGCACGGCGCGTGGAGGAGGAACCGGTGCACGGACCGGCACGCGCGGCAGAGGAGAGCTGCGGAGGAGGAGGAGAGCCAGCACGGGCCAGGCGCTGGCAAGCCGTCGCAGACGAGCGGGAGGGAGGGAGCAACGGGCTCGCGCGAAGCTGGGGCTCGCAACGGGCTGGCAACAAGCGTGCAGCGAAAGGAGATACATAATAATGATACCAAGCATTACGAGGGAGGCTTGCGGGGAGGCACGCTTCTCAGGCAACGAGGAAAGAGTTGGGGGGGGGTCACGCGACAACACAACGAGACGGAGAGAACGGTGTATTTTCCGAGCCCCACGACGAACGACCTCCAGAAAACTTTCCAAACTCGTACACGCCGGTCGGAAGAAGTAGGTAAACACATGAAGTAGGAAGGCGAATGAAGTAGACAGGCCTTCTCAGATAGTAGCGGAACACAGCAAAAGCATATCGGTTCTTGAAATAGAAAAATGCTTGAAATAGACTGGGATCTGGGAATTCAGAACTGCCTACTTTCAACGACTGGCGTGTATCTCGTGTCGGCCCCATTTGGGGCCATCCATCCAATCCCTCTGGCTGTGGCCTGTGCCTGAAGCTAAGGTCTCCACCCCTCCATTCCTGGCCCGCCCCCTTCGCTAAAGGTGCCCAGAGACACACAAATAAATAGACGCAAGTCCCAGGATTCCCAATACTGTTCCATATTTTTTTCCCGTCCACTTCCTATACTTTCCATTATTCCCCTGGGGGTCGACGATTCTTTGTGTCTTTGTGTTTTTTTCCCTCCTGATCCATGTCCCTCCTGGAAGCGTCCCCGACACCCCATCTTCTCTGACATCACCTACCCCCTGGCCTTCCTTTTTTGGGCCCCCCACCGCTTACTGTATGTCCCCGCGCATCCGAACCTGGGTTCTTGTTTTCTGCAGGCACCCCAAGACACATGTCACCGAACCCTTTTTCATTACAGATAGCCCTTCCGTGCCGCACCCTCAGACCTGCTTGTAGGAAGGGCTGGGCGTTTCGCAGGAGACATTGTAAGTTTGAACGTTAGCTAGAATTAGATGTATTGAGGAAGGGTGGGTTTCAGAACTGTGCTCTCGCGTTAGCAACGTGCGGATTCGTCGTAAAAATACAGTGGTCACAAGGATGGATGTGCGATTTCCAGAATGGAACTCTTGCCTTCACGCCGCGCACATTCATCTCAACTATTTGCAGCAGTTGCGAAGATGGAGGGCGGTTCCATTTCTACATTGGGGTATCGCATGATAATTTCGTATGCTATATCTACTGGCCAGAATAGTAATGAGTATCTGTAGCAGATAAGAGGATGGAGCGCGGCCCTTGTCAAACAGGGGATACATCTGGAGACTCCATCGAAGCTCATGACCAGACGAGTAAGCCTGCGCAACAATTGCAACGATGCGGGGCTGCTCTTTCAAAAGGGATCTAGCTGGACACCTCGTTGAACTGCTGTAGGATCATACCGCTTTCGAGCTACTCACTATTCCCGGGGGCGCGCAAACATGGATTAGCGATCCATGGATTTGGCGCGCGGTCGCCAAATCTATGGATCGGGGGAAAGGCCCTCCCCAAAATGCGGCCAGTGCCGTCTCGTTCGGCAGCGGAAAGTCGAGATTTCCCATGGAAACGGGACCCGTCGCTATTCCACGCCCCCTTGATCCATGTTTGCGATCGCCTGCTATTCGCTAACTGGATTCAGGGCAGTTCTTTTTCGCAACGGGGCTATGGCCTGGATGGCAAGACCATAGGGTGCTGGTCCTTCGGGGAGGCGCTTCCTGTGTTGAGCTGGAGGGCTTGCGGGGACTTGTGAGGATGGGACTTGGGACGGGAGGGTGTACTCCAGCATCGTTGATGCATCTTGGGTTTACTCTGGACCTCCCCCTCCTCTCCATCATCAATGTTGTCATCATAATCATAATTGCCAGCGGTCGTCGTTATCATCGTGAGATTGTGGTTATCATCAGGATCACGGCCATCATCATGACGTCACGAATTCCATCATGGCAAGTACCACCACGGTCATGACAGCCATCATCATGCATACCTCCTCTTGTCAGAATGATTACCCTTGTCAATTGTCGTCGCCATCATCGTCACCATCATATCAGCTTACTCACCATCACGGCCATGATCATCATTCATGAACACATTGTGAAGGTGTCTCAAGCGGGGGCCGCGTCTGTACGAACTTTGCAAGGCCAATCTCGAGCCAGAGCCCTCACTACAAGGTCCCCCGCCTTGTGTTTTCAATCCGAGGCGGCCATCGATCTACCTGTGCAACCGCATGCTTGTGGACACCTGGCCGCGTGACACGGAAAGCTCATTCATGAACAAATTGTGAGGATGTGCCGTCGTCGCAGCCCTCGGCTAGAGGAACCCAAAGCGGTATCAACATGAACTTTCGGAGGTCCGTGCAGTGGATCGGCACTGGACCCCCTCACTGGCGTGCTGCGAGCGCCAAGGGGGGCCCGACGCCGATGCTTTTTCTTCTTCGAACCGTACCGTCAGCCCGTATGATGAGGATGCGCGGCAAGGATGCAAGGGCCTTGGAGGGCCATGTTGACGTTTCTCGAGCGAGGTTGGCCAGCGAAAGTCGCTGAGGATGGGCCGAAGGGGCAGGGATGCAAGGGGTAGCCTTGGAAAATGGCTCATCCTTACTACGGGGGTTGACTGTGTGCCTCGCCTTCGCCGTCGTCGGCAGCGCGGTGCCTGCGAGCCGTGGTTGACGAGGTCCACGACGGGCAGCAGGAAGGGCCCCTGCTCCCTCCCAGGAGGGCCGTCCGCGCGCAGGCACGGCCAGAACACGGCGTCGCCCACCTGTCGGCTGCGCCTCCTCCCTGCTTCCTCTCTGCCTCCTCCTTGCCTCCTCCTCGCCTCCTTGGCTCCTCCTTGCCTCCTCCTCCTCCTCCTCCTCATTCCTCCTCCTTCTCCTCATCCCTCCTCCTCCTTGCCTCCT